GTCCCAGGAGGACAAAAGAGGGTATCAGATTCCCCTGAAGCTATTGTTACAGGCAGTTCTCAGTTAAGTGGCATGGGTTTGGGAACCAAAACCAGGTCCTTTAGAAGAGCAGCTAATGCTCTCACCTGCTGAGCCCACTTCAAGCCCATAGGTTTTCCCTTGCAAACATAAATTAAGGATACGAAAATGTGGAATTTCATTATATTACTTTTTATACCTGTATATCATTGTACTGCGCTCAAATTCTCCTCATCACCCATCATCCTTTGCTGTGCATCTCACCCCTTCCTGGAGTCCTTCCCCACAACTGAACAGTCATCGACTTTTCCCTGTGTGCCAATGCAAAGCTAATCTGGATGCCATATAAGAATACATGTAATATTTTTCTACCCCTCCCCATGATGGTCATTGTTAACTTTTACTGCCTACTTTCTATTGGCAAATTTTATTGGAAAACTGGGGCTCATGAATCCACATAGATGTAACCTCGTTTGAAATTTGTGGGTGGTAAACAAACAGGCACTTTCTGAAAACACTGTATACCACAAAATAAACCAAATCTCTGTGGTCACTGGATTACATCAGCTAATAGAAGTGCATTTGAAGAAAAGAAAGAGCTACATGAAAAACCACTACTCTATGGGGCTTTGGAATTGCTGTATATAGTATGTACCTTACAATGATGAGATGCTGGTTGACCCCGTCCTTAATTCTGAATTAGGTCTTGAAACTTTTACACTCTCTGAAAGTCTATATGAAAGGTCCTGTTCTTAAATTTTAAGTCCAGTTGTCCATTTGATTGTCCATTGGCCCTAGTTTGAATGTATTGAGGTGCCCGGCATCAAATGTGTTGATGTGGTCAGCTTGTCAGGATGGGATCCACTGTGATAACTTCCATGCACTAACAAAGTTGAATTTGAAACAAGAGCATATGCCAGGCTAGTATCCTGATTCTTACACAGCAACTGAGGGAACATTTGGATGAAGCCCATATATTTAATAAGACATGACTGAAACTTGTCAACTACACATTGCCATTGGCCATGCCAGAGGAGCAATGACTTGCAATCGAAGGTCCCTGTATCAGCCCAGCAGAAGGGAATCCTCAGATGGGCCAGTCTCATTTAGGCCACAGGACTGCAGTCCCTGGAGTGTCTTTTGCTTCTGCGGTGCCTTTACAAGTGTGCTGCAGCTCTCTTTCTCTGGTATCTACCATGGTGAGAGTGGATTGGGGCAATCTCTCCTGCCTGTAACACAGTGTGTGTATCTCTTGGAAACATCCCATTCTACTGGGCATTTCTACCTGTGGCTTGTCAAGAAGATGTCACCTCCCCAAGCTGTACTGTCTAATAATAGTAATGATAGCAAATCCAGAGTGTCAGTGAATAAAAATAGATACCAGATACTTCTCACAGCCACCATCTGTGAGTTTCACCTCAGGAGCTGCATGGATTGTAGCCTAAGTTAAGAAAAATGACTGAGTCCCAGTAGCCCAGCTGGTTTAAATTCTGTTAACCTTAATGTTGGTAGATGTGTCCACAGGTCTCAGAGTGCATCACAGCCGAAACATATCTTTAAAAGTAACAAAGTTAGAATAAAATTTTACAACGGGTGCATACTTAAGGTGAGAGGACAAGACAAAAGCAGCCCCAATTATTACTTGCTAGGTTTGGCTGATGACCAAAGGTGATGATTAATTCCATATATATATCATATGTACTCTAAAGATTTAAAGTTGAGCTGGTTCATTCATTGTCATTTAAGGTTTGTTATTCTTTAGGATTTCTTATGCAGTTAACTTTCACAGTAAGTAAATTAAGAAATTTACTCTTGCTGGGTGGTAGTGATTGCGCACACCCTTAATCCCAGCACTCAGGAGGTAGAGACAGGTGGATCTCTGTGAGTTCGAGACCAGCCTGGTCTACAAGAGCTAGTTCCAGGACAGCCTCCAAAGCCACAGAGAAACCCTGTCTCAAAAAAGAAAGAAATTTGCTCTTTATAACTGCAAAATGCAGCATGCCAGTAAAAAATATCTGGTAAGAACGAACACCTTGCTTGCCAAACAGTTAATGTGTTTCAAGTTGCTTGGATATGAATTTATGTGGGTTCTTGTAATAATTTGTTTTTCACTTGTAATAAATAAAATGTTTAACCATGTGAGGGAGATAAAAAGATGTTTTTACCTATTTTCATTCACTTGAGAAATGGAATGCAACTGTTTTTGACCCTTGTATTGCTGGGGTATAAAAGCTATGAAAAAACTTGAGAGTACAGAGAAAGAGAATAAAGAGAAAATATGAAGAAGAGAATAAAGAAGTAAATCACCTGGAGAGTTTGTGTCTTTTTCCCTAAACCTTCACAGATAAAAAAGTTTAGACTTCCCAACTCCATGGATTCCTGTCAAAGCCCTGAATTGCTGGAAGTTGGATACCAGACAGCAGTAACACATCCCCTGACACTCACTATTCTAGACTTTTGTCATTTTATTGTGCTGGGTGAAAGCTAATGGTTTTGCAGTTTTAGGAGAACAGTGAGTCACAGGGAGGGTTTGAACTTGTATAGGTTATGTAGACAATGAAAGGTTGTGTTTTACACACCGTACCACATTGAGTTTGATTTTCTATTGCCACAACAAAATCTTGAACAATAGCAACCTGGGGAAGGAGGGGCTTTCCAGCTATGGGTTTTGAGCATCCCTGAGGAAAGCCAGGGAGTCATCTTAAGTCAGGAACTGAAGCAGACACCACCGAGGAATGCTTCTTACTAATTTGTTCCCTCTGGGTTGCTCAGCTAACTTTTTTAAACAACCCAAGCCCACCTGCCTATGGATCTTGTGCCCAGAGTGGCTCAGCTCCCCTACATTAATCATTAATCAAGAAAGTGCTCCCACAGACATCCAGTACAGGCATTTTCTCCATTCATAGTCTCGGTCATGGGTGTGTCAAGTTGACAATGGATGCTCACCTGACAGTCTCCTGCTGCCTTACTTGATTGTTTACCCTGAGAGAACTAGAAAGTAAAGAAACAGAGGCAGGTATGGGGAATGTAGGAAGCCCAGGAAATGGGAATTACCTTTTGTAGCTCCTCATAGGACATTAGTAGGAAGTTCTCTGTGTTTCTTCTTGTCAACCATCCAAGGGTGTGATCAAACCAAGATCCATAAAGCACTATGGAAATAGAGTTGAAAAAAGAAGTGACTACTGAACTTCGTACCTCATAAATATTCTTATTCATGATTATAAGTTACGAATTTGCTTTGAGGAAGGCAATGGATTTCAAGTTGATACCTTTAGAGGTCTGTAATACAATTGTGACATTGGTTAAGTTAGTTCATATTTGCTTTCTTTGGAGGATAAAACTATACACACTTACTACCTATGGTTTTAAAAGATTTTTTTAACCTTATTTCATGTGTATGAATGTTTGCTGGTATGTATGTTTGTGTGTATGTATGTATTTGCACCACATGGGTGCAGTGTTCACACAGACAAGAAAAGGGCTGAAGGTCAGTCCTCTGTCCGATATGGTGTTGGTGAAGATCTTTTCCCATTCTGTGGGCTGTCATTTTGTCTTGCTGACTGTGTCCTTTGCCTTAAAGTAGCTTCTCAGTTTCAGGAGGCCCCATTTATTAATTGTCAATTTTAGTGTCTTTCTACAGGTGTAATGTTCAGGAAGCAGTCTCCTGTACCAATTTGTCCAAGGGTACTTCTCTCTTTCTCTTCTAAGAGATCAGGAAGGTTGTGTAGAGGGAAAAATAGAGGAGAGCAAAATAAGAGATACCATCAAAGAGGGAGCCAGTATAGGTTTAAAGAGAAATCAGGCACTAGGGAAATGTCCAGGGATCTAAAAGGATGACACCAACTAACCATCTAAGCAACAGAGGAGAGGCTCCCTTAAATGCCCTCCCCTTATAATGAGATTGATGACTGACTTATATGCCATCGTAGAGCCCTCATCCAGCAGCTGGTGGATGTAGAAGCAGACACCCACAACTAATCACTGAGCTGAACTGGAATCCAGTTGCAGAGGAGGAGTGATGAGCAAAGGGGTCAAGACCAGGCTGGTGAAACACACAGAAACAGTTGACCTGAACAAGGGGGAGCTCTTGGCTCCCAGACTGATCACTGGGAAACCAGCATGGGACTGATCCAGACCCCAGGAACATGGGTTTCAATGAGGAAACATCAGAAATCTATGGGGCCTCTTATGGTAGATCAGTATTTTCCCTAGGATAGGTGTGGACTTTGGGAGCCCATTTAACACAGAGGGATACTCCCTGAGCCTAGAAACAGGGGGAGGGCCTAGACCCTATCTCAAAGGATAGGACAGACTCTGAAGATTCCCCCCATGGAAGGCCTCACTCTCCCTGGGAAGCAGAAATGGGATGGGATAGGTAGGGTGTTAGTGGGGGTCAGGGGAGGAGGGTAGGGAGAGGGAACTGGGATTGACATGTAAACAATCTTGTTTCTAATTTAAATTTAAAAATGGAGAAAAGGAGATTTGTTTATTTCTTGATTTTTTTGGGTTTGTCTTTTCCCCATGTATTTTTTTTTATTTTTCTTCTATTTCTTTAAGGTATTTTCTCGTTTCCTCTTTAAGGATCTCTATCATCTTCATAAAATAGTTTTTAAGGTCAATCTCTGCTTCTTCCTCTGCTTTGGGCTTTACGGGTCTTGCTGGTGTGGAGTCCCTAGGATTCCCTTGTTTTGCAAATTGAGCAGTCACTTTCCTGTGGGTCGAGCATTCCCAGTCTATCCTGCATACAGTCAAACAGTACAGATAAGAGCAATTTCTTGTCCAAAAGGCTAGTTCTGCTATGTCAAAGGCAAACTCCATAACAAGTTTCTTTGATGCCCATCTTCTACTGTGGTATAATTGGTGTTACCAGGGGCATGTTGTGTCTCACTGTCATGAAAAACCCTAACCCATTTTAAATACCACATTCAGTAGGTCTTTGAAGAATGCCTATCCATTAGAAATACATCTCTATATATCTAGAAAACCTAACTATCATAACCATAAGTTTGGACTATTATAGGTAACAATATATAATCTGTAATTATATATTACATTTCTAAATGAGCTATAGAAACACAATACCTAAACAAGAGGATAAATATACACGGAAAAAATTGACCTTAAATTTGTATCAATAGATGAAAATCCATTCCAATGCAATGTATTCATTCCTATAGCCTAATCCCCCCTTTTCCTTTAAAAGGGGATTGGTTGTGATCATTAACCATTTATAACCAACACCATTTAAATTAAAACAAACATTCATAAACAATATTTGAGAATTTGGACTTGGTTCTCTCCAAACTACTTCTTGCTGTTAGGGGGGATTGAAATATCATGGGGATCCTTGGAAAACACAGACTCCTGGCTAAGTCCTTGATGCAGCAGTCTGTAATGATGCATTATCTCAGATGTTTTCAATGTTGGATCACCTGACCATTGCTTCAGGGGTCTTGCTTCATCAAGACCCCTTCATCACATTAGGAATCCACAGCTTTTCATTTTCTGTGGAAACACAAATAATGTCAATTTTCTAAAGTAACATGTCCTTATACAATATTCATGCAAAAACATTATATATATATATATATATATATATATATATATATATATATATATAGAGAGAGAGCAGCAATCAAAACACGTAAAGATTACACAATAACATACAGTAACCTGACTCTGTGTATTTTCCATATTTACAAGGCTTATTTATTTATTAATTTATTGTAACTCTATATCTTTTACTTTTATTTTTTCCTGTTTACTTTGGCCTGTCCTGGAATTCACTCTGTACACCAGACTGGCTTTGAACTCACAGAGAGCCTCCCGCCTCTGCCTCCCAAGTGCTGGGGTTAAAGGTGTGTGATACCACAGCCCACCTCTCTATTTCTTTTATAACCATTTATCCTCATTCTATTATCCTGCAATCCTACGCATATTCTTACACACACTGTAAATCTTTAGAGGTTTTACTTTTTCCCTCTGAATCTGCCTTCACTGTATATCTTTTTCTGGCCACGAGTCTTAATCTGCTAAACAGCATGGCAAAAGAGCTGTGCAGCCCTTTCTTGGCTGCTTTGCTAAAATGAAAGCAGCAGCTGTTTTACCCACTGGCTTTCCAACATGGTGGGCTGAAGTTTACTACCAGCCCTGGGAAATGTGCTCAGTTTCTCGACTCCTAATCCTTTATGAGTAAAAGCTAAATCTGCCAGGCAGCATGCTGGCCCTTGCTGCTGTCAGCTTCATATACATGCCATTATTATCTGGTAGAAGGGACTCTTAAAATAGCCTTGCAGGTTTTTTGTTTTGTTTTGTTTTTTTACTCTGACTCAGGAAACTTCCCTTAAAGGAGCTGTGCGATTTTCTGCTTGTCTCTAGCAAAACAGATCCCTGAAAAACAAAAATGCTGCCACCAAGAAGCTGTGCTTGTCTCTCTTCTTTTCTTTCTAAAATCCCTTTTAATCTTTTTGTCACGTTGTAAGTGGAAATCCATGCCAACCATGTTGCAAGTGCCATTTTGTTGCGGAATTACGTCCCCAGTTCCGGCAGCTGCCTCAGGGCCCCCAAAGAAACACAGGATGCTACGTTAGTTATCAAACTCTAGGTGGTTGGCTCTGGCTTTGTATTGACTAACTCTATCTTAATGATTAACCCATGTCTATCAATTCATGTATAGACACGAGGCTGTGGCTTACCCAGTAATTCCAAGCATGGTGTTACTCCTCCAGCAGCCTATAGGGTGACTCACTCTAACTACACCTCCCAGAATCCTCCTCATCTCCTAGACCTGTCTACCTTGCTGCCCTATTGGCCACAGTATTATATTCATCATCCAATAAGACAAACATATGTGCAGAAGAAATCCCCATCAGGAAACACCATAAACATGCACACTAAGTAGATGGATATAATATCTGAAAACAATTAATTGAAAAATGTTAAAATAAAGAATAGCTGAAAACTCATACCTGTATGGTATATAACAATTGATTTTCTAAGTGAAAAAATGTATTAAATAAAAGCCAGAATATATCTGACTGCCCATAAAATTCTTGACATCGCACTGAGTAAAACAAACAAACAAACAGTAATTTATCTATCTTATTTTATGAGCATTGATTATTTGCCTACAAATATGTCTGTATGAGGCTGTCAGATCCTTTGAAATTGGAGTTACAGAGAGTGGTTAGCTGCCATGTTGGATCTGGGGATTGAACCCTGGTCCTCTTGAAGTACAGCCAATGTTCTTAAACACTAAGCCATCTTTCCAGCCCCAAAACATTGAGTAAAATTTTAAAAGATTTGTTTTATTACTTTAATTTCATTCATATGTTTATCTCTGTGTGAGTTTGTGCATATATTATTGCAGTGTCTGTAGATGTCAGTAGAGGGTGCTAGACCCCTGGGTCTTGTGTTATAAGCAGTTGAGAGGAACCTGACATGGATGCTAGGAACCGACCTTGGACATCTGCAAGAGTAGTACATACTCTTATCAGCTAAACCATCCTTCTAGTACCACACTGAATAAATTTTAAACTGTTGTGACCCACAGATTTAGATTTTAAACATGCAGCACGGATCTCTGGCCTTGCCTTGATTTCAAGATATTAAATTGGTGTTCCAGTTTCCACTTACATTCACCATGGATAAAGGCATTTAAAAATTCCTCAAAATTCTTAGGAATCTTCACATTAGGTGTATATTTGCGGATATGATAAATAGATGTAGCAACATCTCTTGGATTCCTGATGATATAAATAATCTAAAAGAGAGGAAGAGAGTTTATTAGAATGTCTATCTTCCTAATGAGATTGATGACTGACTTAGATGCCACCTGATAGCCCTCATCCAGCACCTGGTGGAAGTAGAAGCAGACACCCACAACGAATCACTGAACTGAACTGAAATCCAGATGCAGAGAAGGACGAGTGAAGAGCAAAGGGGTCCAGACCAGGCTGGTGAAACCCACAGAAACAGCTGACCTGAACATCAGGGAACTCTTGCTCTCCAGACTGACAGCTGGGAGACCAGCATGGGACTGATCCAGACCCCAGGAACATGGGTTTCAGTGAGGAAACCTTGGAAATCTACGGGACCTCCTGTAGTAGTTCAGTACTTATCCCTAGCATAGGTGTGGACTTTGGGAGCCCTATTCCCTGAGCCAAGACACACAGGGCTGGGCGTAGACCCTATCCCAAAGGATACAATAGACTCTGATCACATCCTATGGAAGGCCTCACCATCCAGGGGGAGCAGAAAGGACATGTGATAGGTAGGGTTTTAGTTGGGGGAATAGTAGAGGAGGACGGGAGGGAGAGGGAACTTGGAACAATCTTGTTTCTAATTCAAATTTAAAAATTTAAAAAAGAATGTCTATCTGTCTTCATTTCACCATTGCTTATATCTCCACATCCTAAACCAAACTATTTAAGTCTTTACAAAAAGCTACAACATTCATGTGAAGGTCACATGATGACCTGCATCTTTTCTTTCCATCTATGAGTGTCTCGATGTAAGGATGCCTTCTCTCCCATCATTTCCCTAACTCTGAGATAAAGGATCTTAAGTTGATCTTCCATCTGGAGAAGTTTAATTAACTACCACAGGTATGCATGGTTCCATGTTGTAAGAAAATTAGAAGGGCTACAAAAAATGTTTCAGTGGTTAAAGCAGTGGTTCTCAACCTGGAGTCCCCTAAGATCATCAGAGCACACAGGTATTTCTATTATTATTCACAACAGTAGCTAAAGAATAGTTATGAAGTGGCAATGAAAAACGTCTTATCGCTGGGACTCCTCACAACTGGATGAACTGCATTAAAGGGCTTCAACATTGGCAAGGTTAAGAACCATGGGCTTAAAATGTTTTCTGCACAAAAATGAAGATCGGAGTTTGGAATCCTCAGAAAAACACATGTGATGGCTATTCTTGGTTGTCAACTTGACTACTATCTGAAATGAACTATAATCCAAAAATGGAGGACACAACAGTGATCTGGCTCTTGAGGCAGGAAGACAATATGCCTTTGCTTCAGATTTTAAGATGGTATGACACATGCCATTGTTCCAAATCTTGAGGCAGGAAGACACACACTGCTGCCATTCAGAACAGCCTGCATTAGTGCAGGGCTCAAAGGCAATCCATGGAATCACCATACTAAGATTTTATCTGAGGGAGTAAGGGAGAAGACACAATACTCTCCAGATGGTTTCTTTCTGATATTTCCTTTATGCTTCTGTGTTCTTCCTCTACAGCATCCATGGTGTTTTCCTTCTATCATTCTAGATGGTTTGCTTCTCTTCAGTTTTTCCTCTAACTCTCTGATTCTTGATGTTCACTTTCTAACTTACCTTGTGTTTACCCTTACAAATTATATGTCCCACCAAAATCTTTCAAGATGCATAAAAATTACAGTGTGGTTACATTCTAATTTCCAAGTGAGTGATTACAATGAATACAGGTATAAAATGTGTTTTCGAGCATCCTTGGCCCCTCCTGTACCTGTAGGAGGTGAGTCTTTGGACTGCTGGCTAGACAGCCCTGCTCTTTATTCCTTATCACATGGTGGCACATTATGAGCCCAACTTGTACCCAGAAATACCCCCAGAGACCTGAGATCAACATCCCCACACCCACAACCAGCCCCCACCACATAAGAGAACACTAAAATATTACAATATAAAAAAGAATCATCTTCAACAAACGGTACTGCCATAACTGGAAGCTGATATGTAGAAGAATGCAAATAGATCTTTATCTATCCCCATGCACAACACTCAAGTCCAAATGGTTAATGATCTCAACATATATTGAGCCATACTGGACCTCATAGAAGAGAAACTGGGAAGTAGCCTTAACACATTGGCCTAGAATACTATTTCCTACATATAACACCAGGAGCACAGACACTGAGAGAATCCACTAATAAATGGGACCTTGCGAACATGAGAACTTTCTGTAAGGCAATGGGCAGCTTGAATAAGACAAAATGACAGCCTACACAATGGGAAAAGAACATTTACCCCACATCTCTCTGAGGGCTGATCTCCTGTATATACAAAGAATTCAAGAAACTAGACATCAAAAGGCAAAATAATCTAATTAAAAATGGTGTACAGATCTAAACAGAGAATTCTTAACATAGGAATCTCAAATGATGGAAGGGCACTTATGGAATTGCTCAACTTCCTTAGCCATCAGGGAAATGCAAATCCAAACAATTCTGAGATACCATCTTACACCTGTCAGAATGGCTAACATCAAAAATTCTGATGACAGCATATACTGGAGAAGACATGAAGTAAAAGGAACACTCCTCCATTGATGGCGGGAGTGCAAATTTGTACAGCTGCTTTGAAAATCAGTATGGTGGTTTCTCAGAAAATTTGGAATCAATCTACCTCAAGACCCAGCAATTCCACTTTTGGTCATATACTCAAAGGATGCACAGGGAGAGCAAGGAAAGGTATCTTGATAGAAGTAGCCATCGTGGGCTTACTTGGAAACTTGGCTCTAGGTAAATTCCCAGGAATCCACCAGGATGACCCCAGGTCAGACTCTAAGCAATAGTGGAGAGGGTGCCTGCACCTGGTACTTCACTGTAGACAGATTGGTTACTATCTTAATTGTCATCATAGAACCTCCATCCAGTAACTGCTAGAAGCAGATGCAGATATCCATAGCTAAGCACTGTGCCAAGATCATGGAGTCCAGTTGAAGAGAGAGGCCAAGACCCTGATGGGGATACCCACAGAAATAGCTGATCCATGCTGGTGCTAGTTTTCTGACTCCAGACTGATATCTGGGGAGCATTCATGGGACTAAACCAGGCCCTCTGAATGTGGGATACAGTTGTGTACTTTGGACAGTTTGTGTGGCCACTGTCAGTGGGACCAGGACTTATCCCTTGTGCATTAACTGGCTTTTTGGAGTGCATTCCCTATAGAGGGATACCTTTCTCAGCCCAGATACAGGGGGGCATGACTTAGTCCTGCCTCAAGTGATGTGACAGACTTTTTGATTCCCAATGGGAGTCCTTTCACTTTCTGAGGATTGGATGGAGGGTTGGGTGGGGGAAAGATGGAACGAGTGGGAGAAGGGAAGGGGGGGACCTGGGATTGGTATGTAAAACAAAAGATATTGTTTTAATAAAAAAATAAACTAAAGAACACTTCCCTTACATGGTTAAACAGTTTACTGAATACAGTGGAAAACAATTTGTCCCAAGAACCCACATGCATTTATATCCAATTAACTTGTTATAGATTAACAGAGTGGAAGCAAGCAGAGCATTTTCTCAGCCAGTTCTTCTATATCCAGTGTGCATATCGTAGTTAAAGGAAAGTGCTAATCATTTTATTATTTATCTCACTAGATAATCTCATA